CGGCGTGACTATCGGTTTCGGCATCTTCATGGCGCTCTGCGCGATCCTGAGGCAGCGATCGCCAACGAGGACAGCGCTGCCGAGGCGGAGGCCATGGGTGAGCACCCTGGATGGGGCGGCCGCATGCTCGGCCGACGCCGCAACATACCACCCACGATTCAAGAGGATCGTGACCACGATGGTGACATCGCTATGTCCCACGCGGATGTATTCAGCAGCGCACAGGCATCAAGTTCAGTAGCATCGGCTGCGATTCAGCAGCCGCCGCTGCCACAGGTACCGACAGAACCACCGCCAGCCAAGCGCGCCGCCATCACCGTACTCTGCAGCATCATCACGGGCATCTGGGCGATCAAGATCAGTGAAGTCGCAGGGGAGTTCGGCCCCTGCATCACCAACCGTGGTTTCCGTGACGAGTTCATCGAGTTCCGTTTCGGCCTCATCTGCCAGTGTTGTGTCGTGGAGCGGATCTTTCCCGACGGTGCAGCCGCGTGGCATGATCAGTTGCGTGATTGGCATTATTCATCATGCTGTGGTCATCGGCCACAGCCCGCAATCACTTGCAAGACCTGCGAGAAGCACGCTGCGTGGCTGCTTCGGCATTATCAATTTCGAAATCCCGATTTCACGATCTTCCCGGAGAGTGCGATGAATGACCTCAAGGGCTGTTGGTGGAAGCTCACAGACAGAGATGTTTGGCGGGGATCAGATCTAGCGGACAAGCTGGCCAAGCGGAAGAAAACGTGACCCCCGCTTGGTTGGGCGGCAGTTTGGCCGATCAGACCGGAAATGTTCTACTGCCTATACTACGCGCCCGGTCAAGATTTACGCATTCCGCATCGTTGCCAATGCCGTGCGCCCGGTCAAGATTTATGCATTCCGAATTGCAGCTTGTACACCCAGATAAAGATCTACACGTAACGCTGCGTTTTTTTTTTTTTTTTTTGAAGTTTCATTCGTTTTAGTGCGCGCCGTTTGTGTTGTGATGACGATCGCACCTAGTGTATTGAGAAGATGGCTATATTCCTTTTGGGTTTTGTCGCATCGCGATCGAACCTCGGCCATTGCTGAGTACACCTTGCATGCTATGTTATACAATGCAAGCCGTTTGCTTGCTTATCTTCGTTTTGTTTGCCGGCGAGTGATTTGTTTGCCATTGCCCCCGCTCAGGCCTGTCAGAGGCCGCGACCGACCGAAACGGCGACTAGGAGGAGTGCGATTCAAGTTCGCTCCCGAAGGGTTTGCGCTGCACCCCCTGCCCGCCGCTGCCGTTTTATTTCGAACTAGGGCCCTTGGCCTTTGAGCTGCGCCCCTCGCGAGGCCGCGAGTAAGAAGATCCATCGACAATCTTCCGTATCACACTAAGAAGCTTCTGAGAGGCTTCTAGGATGCGTCTACGCGGTTCTGCGAGGTTTCAAAGAGGCTTCTAAAACTCTTACAGCTTTTAAGAGGTTGCTAAGAGGCCTCTGAGAAGCTTCCAAGGAGCTTCTTGGAGGCTTCTGAGAGGCCGCAAGCTGTTAAGAGGCCGTTAAAAATCAGCTACGAAGCTTCTAAGAAGATTCTAGGAGGCTTCTAAGGAGCCTCTCAGAAACTTCTGGGGGGCCTCTCGGAGGCTTCTTGGAGGCCTCTTAGAAGCCTCCAGAAGCTTCTTTTTAGATTTCTCTAGAGGCATCTTAGAAGCATCTACGAGGCCTCTAAGATGCTTGCAAGATGCTGTTATGCCTACCACGCAGACGCGTTATAATAGAATCATACCTACTGCTGCTAGTTCTGCTAGAAATAGTGAACGAAGACTACGACGACGACTACTATTACTGCTACTGCTGTTTCTAATATTGGTAGTAGTGCTACTGTTACTAATCGTTGTAGTATTGCGACTACTACTACTACTACTACTACGACGACTACTACTACTACGACTACTACTACTACTACTACTAGCAATACTACTACGGCTACCATCTCTACTACTACTACCACTACTACTACTTCTACTACTACTACTACTACTACTACTACTGATACTACTACTACTACTACTACTACTACTACTGCTATTACCAATGCTGCTACTACTACTACTACTACTACTACTACTGCTTCTACTACTACTACTACTACCACTCCTGCTGTTATTATTACTACTACTATTACGATTCGTACCGCTACTACCATGGCGACGAGGACTGGTACTACTACCACTACGACTACGACTACTACCACTACTACTACTACTACTACTACTACTACTACTACAACTACTACTACTGCACTACCACTGCGATTTTTACTGCCACACAAAAAAAAGGTTAGGAATCGTATCATTGTTACCATTGCTGCTGCTGTTGCAATTACTACTCCTACTGCTCGTCCTACATGTAATCCTACTGCAAGTATTACCAGTACAAGTATTGTTGCTACGACCACGTGTATTACTACTACTACTACTACTACTACTACGGCTATACTCACTACTACTATCACTATTACTTCTACTACTACTACGATTACTACTACGAATATGGGCCGTACTACTACTATTACTACTACTACTTCTACTACTACCACTACTACTACTACTACTAATTCGACTGATACTACTACTACTACTTCTACTACCACTACTACTACTTCTACTACTACTACTACTACTACTACTACTAATACTACGACGACTACTACTACTACTACGACTACTACTGCTGCTGCTAGAAGTTTTGCGACCACTACTGCTACTGCTACTACTACTACTATCACTACTGCCATTACTACCACACAAACGGTTCGTGATACTACAATTGTCGTTATTTCTGCTGCTCCCATTTCTGATATTACTAGTCGTACTAGTACTAGTACTCGTACCCTTACGACTACTACTATTACTACTACTACTACTATCACTTTTACTACCAATAGTGCTACTACTACTATTACTACTACTATTACTATTACTACTACTACTACTACTACTACTACTACTACTACTACTGCTACTACTGCTACTGCTACGACGACGACTACTACTACTACTACTACTACTACTACGGGTACTACTACTACTATTACTATTACTACTACTACTACTACTACTACTACTGCTACTGCTACTGCTACTACTACTACTACTACTACTACTACTACTAGTATGACTGCTACTACTACCAGCACGACGACGACGATTGCTAGTAGTAGTACTACTACTACTACTACTACTACTACTACTACTACTTGTACTACTACTATTACAACAACTACTACTACTACTACTACCCCTATCAGTGCCATCACTACTACTACTACTACTACTACTACTACTACTACTACTAGTACTACTACTACTAGTACTAGTACTACTACTACTACTACTACTACTACTACTACTACTACTACTACTACTCCTACGACTACGACTACGACTACTACTGCTACTACTGCTACTACTACTACTACTACTACTATTATTACTAGTACATCCCCAAGCCGAAAGTTTTTCCTCTTGGCGCTGAACCTGACAGTGCCCCGCGGTGCACGGGCCATCTGGGAAATTTTATCGGCGAGCCTAATTAGGGTGGCACGCATCCGGTTTCCAACCTTCACCGTAATCGTGAAATCGCGGCGGATCCCATTTCCGTGCGCGCGGATTCCATTTCTGATGTTCGGGCTCCGCGTCGGACCTTCTCTTTACGGCGGATCCCAGTTCTACCCCGCTTAAAAAAAATACTGTTAAACTCATTCCGGGAAGCGACAAGAATGGGATCCGTCGACCGCAGGCCCACCCCGTGTTAAGATTCTACGGGGGACGGGGGCGCCCTTCTTCGATTTCAGAAGACAAAAGAGGACAATCTTTCGTCCTGCGCAAATAATGTTATAAACTATTACTAATCCTACCACAACAACAACAACTACTACTACTACTACTATTGTTACTACTACTACTACTTCTACTGCTACTACTACTACTACTATTACTACTACTACTACTATTATTACTACTACTATCTCTTAATAATAATACTATTACTACTCCTCCTCCTCCTCCTACTACTACTACTCCTACTACTATACGACTACGGCTATGACTACGACTACGACTACGACTACTACTACTGATACTACCACGTAGTACTACTACTACTACTACTACTACGACTACTACTAGACTGCTACTACGACTACTTCTACTACTACTATTACTACTACTGCTACTACTACTACTACTACTACCACTACTACTACTACTACTACTACTACTACTACTACTACAACGACTACTACTACTACTACCACTACTACTACTACTACTACTACTACTACTACTACTACTACTACTCCTACTATGTCCCAGCAGTTGGGTGATTCCCCCGCCAGTTTTTCGTGTAACTTGTGCGGTCTCATTACGGGAAATGATATTGTTTCTCGGCTTTTGCATGGACGACACAACTACGCTTGATACGAGCGAGGTCATCCGGCCACTGCTCATTTCCCCAGTCGACCGGGGAAAACCCCATTCAACCGGTGTTAAAACCATCGAGCCAGGGAATAGAGCACTGCTCCTTGGGACCCCCCCCCACCGCCGGTGAAGGGATCAAAGGGAAGGGGCTTCTTTTCGACTCAATTGCAACGTTGCTCAATTTCGCCGTGGGTGGCGCGCTCGAGGAGGAGGGCCCGGTGAAAGTGGGGTGAGCGGCGACGGGCCCAGGGAAAAGGGAGGGGAGCGGCGAAGGCGACGACGATGACAACGACCACGACGACGGCGACGACGACGACCAGTCAAACGGAACAGCCTCTTCCACACGCCGACAGGGTCGGCGGATTTCCGAGTTTCCGCGCTACTTGTAATACAGTGCAGCTGAGATGTTATAGGAGACGGTTTCACAAGCTTCCCCCCTGTCCACGCACATCATGGATCATTGAGTGGTTGCGGGCTTTCTATTATCGCGCATCGTGGACGCCGAGCTCGAGAGATAGTGGTTGACGTTTGGTGTCATCTCCTCCTTCAGGTGGCTCTCATGCTGATGCGGATGGGCCAGCCAGCGCTGCTGTATCTGGTTCCTGGGACGCCGCTTCGTATGTTTGTCAACAGATATTGATGTCGAGACCATGTATTATCTTTATGTGAGCCGATCGTGCAGTGCAAAGCCAATACGTGAGGTGACCAGCATCCCAAGTATGGTAATCGCTAATTCGCGCTGGCTGTCTTGTGTTGTAGCACGTCGTGGGGAACATGATTATGGAGCCATTGGCAATGCCAGTGGTCGAATGCACTTGGAAACAATCACAGTAATTAAGCAAGCGGGTAACACCGACCCCAAGCTCGTTTCCCTAGGACGGTGATGTTGATGAACGGTGATGGTGTTGTTGGTGATAAGGCTGATGATGAGGAAGTATGGGATGATGGTGATGAGGAGGACGAGTAGGAGGAGGGAGAGGAGAGATGATGCCGACGAGGGGGTCGCGGCTGACCTTCCTAAGCAGAGGCTAGGCGGATTTCGGCAGTACCTTCCGCTGGCCCTCAGGCTGTCAAGACCCCAGCGGTCCTTCTCCTGCCACACGGGGCGCTGGCAGCTGGGGGGCCTGGTCGGCGGGCCCGATGCGCGCGGCCCGACCCTTCGGTGCTCAGCCCCCCCCGCCAGTGCTCGGACCTTCGCTTGAGTGGCCCCTCGAAAAGGGAACCGCGCAGTCCGCGCGCTTCCAGCGATTGGAGCAGTGACACACTTGCGCACTTCGTCGGCCTCCCAGCGGGCCCTGTTCGATTGCGCGTCTATGAAGTAGAGTGACCATTCGCTGGAGTGACCTGTGGTGCGGGCCCGCAGGGGTCCTCCTCGCATTGGGCCGCGCGCCTGGATTTGGCCTCCCCGCGGCTCAGGGCCACTCTTGTGTGTTGCGTGCAGCCGACATGTCTGGGCCTCGGAATCAAGTCGGGATGAGCGGCCAGCCCCGAGTGGGGCGGGTCGGCGACTCGAAGGTGGGCCCCCGTGGCGCTGGGTAGAGAAGTCGGTCGGGCCGTCGGAGGTCAGGGTGGCTTCCAGCCTTCTCGGCGCCGGACAGCCCGCCGCGGTTTGCCCCCCACCACGTCCTACGAGTGTTCGTAATTAGCTCCATTCAAACCACACCCCACTGCCTCGGAGGAGATGGACGGGGGGATGGGGTGGGAGCAGGAGGGATTGGAGGAGTCCATCGCCATTTTGGCTCAAGCCATTTTGCCTCAAGCAAACAATTTGCCAAGGTGGTTAAGAGACCGATTTCTGTTGAGGGTCCCACATCCGGCTGCCCAGCCAGGTGTGATCGTCTTCTTTTCTCCCTCGGCGTCGGCGCAACAGTTTGCGCGAGGACACACCTGATATAGTCCGGCACGCTCAGACATTCCATCGCGTAGTGACTCTCGGCCGCGTTGGGTAAACACTGAGTCCAGCGTCCCATTTTGTTGGGCATGCAGCGAGTGTCAAGCGACGACCAGCCGCAGTCTCAATTGGTGCTGGCGTTGTGGTTCGCACTTGACCAAGTCGGTTGCGGGCTGGCACTGTCGCAGCGGGGGGTAATAGTTGCGCATCGCACCCCGCAATTGCCGATACGAGTGAGGGGGCGGCGGGGGACGTCGGCAGACTGCGAGACTCTGAAGAAGCCCACCGCAGGCGCCTAGTTTCCACAAGTTAATACAACGAGCCCGCCGCAGGTGCTGATTTGTTTAGTTAAGCACTGTGGGCGGGTCGCGGGTGGGTCACAGGTCAAATCACGGGTGGGTCGCGGGTCGGTCGCGGGTGGGTCGCGGTTTGTGTTAATGAGCGGGTCGCGGGTTGGTCGCGGCGTGGGTCGCGGTTTGGTCGTGGGCAGGGTCGCGGGTGGGGCGACGACAGCAAACATCAACAACAACAATCAATACGTACAATCACACCAACAACAATACCAACACCACCAACAACAACAACGCCACTAATAACACCGACACAACACAACAACGACAACAACAACAACATTAATCATTGTAAGTCTGTTCGCTCCCACTTTCCCGTGTGTCATTCAACACGAGTTCCCCGCACCCTCGATACCCGCCCTTTGTGTCTTCGATCGCACCCCCTTTGGGGGGATTCTTTCTCTTTGCGGGGGGCGGCGGGCTTAGACAGGTTGGCAAACCTGAACGGGCGGACAATCCTTCGTGGGCGTACATGTGCCCGCCATTGGAATTCGAGTGGGCCCTGCAAACGGAGGAGGGGGGGAACGGGGGGGAGTGGGAGGAAGGGATGGGGGAGGGGCGAAGGAAGAGGGACAATGCCAGGCGAGAAGGAGCGAAGAGGGGGGCGGTTGATTAGAGGTGTATATATATATATATATATATTGAGGGAGGGAGGGAGGGAGGGAGGGAGGGAGGGAGAGAGAGAGAGAGAGAAAGAGAGAGTTAAGAGAGGTAGAGAAAGAGAGAGAGAGGGAAGGGAGAGAGAGAGAGAGAGAGAGAGAAAAAGGAAGAGGGAGGGAGGAGGCAGGAGAGGGGAGGGAGAAGGCAGGAGGGAGAGGAGGGAAAGGGGATAGGGCAGAGAGGCAGAATGATGAGGGAAGAGAGGAGGGAGAGAGAAGGGAGGAGAGGAGGGAAAAGGGAGGAGGGAGAGGGAGGAGGAGCAGGAAGGTAAGAGCGTGAACGTTCGAGGAAGCCGTTCCTGAAGGAAGTCTCGGACGGGAGCCCACGACGGGCGGGCGATCCCCTGACGGGCGGGTCGGGCGGGTGGGACACTCGAGCGGGAAACCTGAGTATGGCGAGAGCGCGGTTACTAAGTAAATTGTAACGGCGTCCTTGGCGCAGCGTGTTTCCTGAGCGTCGAAAGCGCGATTTCTGAATACATTGCATGGAAGTCAAAGGCGAGAGCGCAATTCCTGAATAAAATGTGAGGGGTTCTCTGGCGGGAGCGGGGGTCTTGATTAAGTTGCGAGGAAGTCCTGATTCAATTGTGGGGAAGTCTCAAGCGGGAGTGCCGTGCCTGAGTAAATGGTGAGGAAGTCTCATATAGGAACGGGGGTCATGACTAATTTGCGAGGAAATCGCAGGCGGGAGCACCGATCCAGAGTAAATTGTGAGGAAATCTAAAGAGCGGGGGTCCCGAGTAAATTTGGAGGAAGTCTCAGGCGGGAGCCGATGTTGTTGTAATCCAGGGGGCCAGGGGCCCAGTTTGAGCAGGAACATCTTCCTTGTCAAAAAAGCAGGGTGCGAGCGTCGAGGGGCACGCTTTGATTGAGAAAAAAACGGCATGCACCGGTGAGGGGGGATCAACAATAATGATTCTTCAGGCATGAGAGTTCAACAACAGCAGCAACATAAACAGCAACAGCAATATCACCAACATCAACATCAACATCAATATCAGCATCAACATCAACAACAACAGCGACCGCAGCAACATCACCACCAACAACACCAACAACAACATCATCATCACCAACGGCGCTAATCTTTTCTAGACTGTTCGCTCTTATCAGTTTGCGTGTCGTTCACCACGTATATCCCAAACACTTGGTACCCGCCCTCTTCGTCTTCGATGTTACCCGTTGGGGCTACATCTTCCTTACCTGCCGCGTGTAATTTGCGCAGGCCCTAAAACAAAGGAAAAAGAGGACGGATTGGAGGGGGAGGGAAAAGGATGTAGCGTGAGAAAAATTTGCCGGACGGGGGTTCGGAGCAACAAACACGTGGCAAAAGGTCGGGATGGCGAGCCCAGGCGGCCAGGTCGAGCAGGCGGGTGGCTGAAACGCGAGTCTTGCATGACTCGCGGAGAGGTCTCGCGCGATAGCGCGACTCCCAGGTGGCTCGCGGGAAATTGCCGAAGCGAGAGCACGATTCCCGAGCGTCGAGAGCGCGGCGCTTGAATACATTGCGAGGGGGCCCCACGCGGAAGCTCGATTCCTGCATACATTGTGAGGAGCTCCCGCGCGAAATCGCGACTATGACATGCACTGTGAGCAAGTATCGGGCGGGAGCCGCTGTTGTTGTATTTCGGGGGCCCGGGGGCCAGTTTGACCTCCAAGATTTCCCTGATAGAAGCAGGTTGCGAGCTTGGGGGGGGGAAACGGCATTTCAATTGGAAAAATACCATGTGCGCGTAGGGGGACCAACAGTTACCATTCTTAAGAAGCGAAAGCTACACAACAACAAATAACCGCATCAGCAACAGCACCAGCAACAGCAACAGCAACAGCAGCAACAACAATAACTATTTTAGGATTGCTCGCTCTTATCTGTTCGCGTGCCGTTCACCACGTATATCCCAAACCATCGATACCCGCCCTCGTCGTTTTCGATCGAACCCCCTTGGGGGCATATTTGCCTTAGTTGCCGCGTGTATTTCGTGCAGCCCATGAGGCAATTGAGGGGAGAACGGATGGAAGCAAGGGGTCAGGGGGAGGGAGGAGGATAGAACACGACAGGGAGTAGCAAAAGGCGGGGTTCGGAACAGAAAACACACGTGGCACAACCAGACGGGCAGATCGGGCGGGTCGACCCTGACGGGCGGGTCGGGATGGCGGGCCCCGGCGACCAGGTCGAGCAGCCGGGTTGTTGAAGCGTGCTTCGTGTATGATTCGCGAGGAAGTCTCGCGCGATAGCACGATTCCCAAATAAATCGTTTGAGTTCCACACCGAAGCTGATATTCCTGAGCGTCGAGGGCGCGGCGTCCGAATAAATTGCGAGGGCCTCCCACACGAGAGCGCGATTCCTGCATGCATTATGAGGAAGTCCCGCGCGATAGCGCGATGTGGGAATGATTTGTAAGGAAATATCCGGCGGGAGCCGTTGTTGTTGCAACTTGGGGGCCAAGGGGCCAGTTTGGTTTTCAAGAGTTTCTCTAAAAAAGAGGTACGATGCCCAGGAGGAGCAGTTCGATTGGGAAAAGACTGTGTGCGCCGCGGGGGGGTCAACAATAGTTATATCACACCAGAGGCAAAACCTAATCAGTGGATGGTTTTCGCTGAGGAGATCGACCGGCAGATCGGGAGCCCTGGAACCCAGAACCCACCGAAATCGGCCCAGAACCAAGAACCCGGGAACCCGGAACCGGGAACCCGGGAACCCAGCT